TTCGCTTAGGTCATGATCTCGCGGTTCGTGGGTTCGAGCCCCGCGTCGGGCTCTGTGCTGACTGCCAGCTCGGAGCCTGGAGCCTGTTTCGGTCTGTGACTCCCTCTCTCTCTGACCCTCCCCTGCTCGCGCTGTCTCTCTCTCTCTCTCTCCTAGAAATAAATAAAACATTAAAAAAAATTAAAAAAAAAAAGCATCCCTTAGAGATGCGAGGCCTTTCGTTGTTGATATTGTAAGGAGGAGGCCTGTTTGCTCTGTGACAGCCTCCGACGTGAGCATCTGGTCTGCGGAAGGTTAGCCCCTGGTGTGGTTAATTGCACAGGCTAACTGTTTTATTCCCATGACCCCTCCAAAATACAGATCTAGCATCTATTCTTTTTCTGGCCCATCAACGGACTTATGTACAGGAGACAAATATTTTGGCCCAAGGGCTTTTCTTTTTAAGGGGAGAGCAGATCACAGATACCAAGGAGGGTTTTTCAGTCCGAGAGAGTGATGCAGGTCACATAAAACGTATCCATGAAATGTATCAGTACGTGATAAACCTCATTTATAAAGGAATTATAAAGGAACATTTGCACCCGCAAAGGATTCAAGTTCCAGGCTATCCCAAATGTGCTTTTTGTGGTTTGCTGTTGGTTTTTAATGCCTGGACTCAAGAATCACAAAGCCTTTTCTGTACGCTGGGCGGCTGATATTGCTCAAAAGCTCCCCAATTAATAACCTGACTGTTACCAATGTCATCACTTCCCCTACCTACTAGGTGTCTGCTCTTGCGTGTATGCATGGACATGGACACACACACACACACACACACACACGAACCAGACTGTCTGACGGTACTGCCAGAGCAGTCCACTGGGATGCTGAGCCCAGAAGACAGACATTCAGTTAACAACAGGACAGCACTGTGGCTTCTCAGCCCCTGGGAACTTTACACTCCACAGAATTTCCACTCTCCCCCCTGCAGACATGCACCCTCAACTCGCGGTCCAAAGTAACGTCTTCCCACTATCCTCCTACCCCGCACCCCTTCTCAGGGTTCTTCGCTCCGATCTAAGGACAGAGGAGCCTCTCTGGACTTCAGTCCACATGACCTTGCATGGATGGCCAGACTCAAATTCGGCTCGCTTGGCTCGAATTTCATTTCCACCCCTTCATGCACAAGGGGTTTGTGGCTCAGGAGGTTGGGGAATGGCACTTGGAGGTACTTGGGCAGCTGCTCCCAGCTGCTAAGAAATGCCGGTTCCTCCCGGTAGGAATCGAAAGTTCCTCTGTTCCCTCTGCCTCTTCGGCAGACTTAAAAAACAAGGCAATGATCATTAGAGGCCAGAAAACTTGAGATTTTGATGATGTGGCAGGGGAAGAACTCACTTCTAAACTCCAAGCTGAGTGATCTTTGATCTTCCTGGATGCTATTAAGGGTACAGTATTTAGTGATATTTTAATGATATTTTAGTGATTTTTCTCTCAAATGTATTACCTGAATAACACATCGTAGCATAGAAAAGAAATACGCCGTAAGAGATTAGGTATTAGACACTTAGGATCTTGTCCAAAACTATGAGACAGAAGTGTTAACAGAAACTGAAATGTTACGCACACCTACGTACACACTCCTTTAAATACTACGTAGTTTAAATACTTTATAAATAGGTATCTTTTATCTAACCAAAAAACCCACATCTTGTTGGTGCAGAAATGCACAGGGAGGGGGCCTCTTTATTTGATTCTAAGCTCACCTGCTCTTAAACTCCCAAAGTTTTAAAGCTAATGAAACAATGCCCTACGCTCATTTAGGAACCCGCCACCCCTATAACGGAAATGCAGACTGTTCGTTGCAAAGGACTGCCTTCCCAGGACACGTTAAGCCACAGCCATTTGTTGTCCTGATATTACGTCCGCTAAATTAAGTAATGCCGAATGTTTTTTTTAAACCCCATCAGGGTGGAGTTTCACGCCCAGAAGACTCCATTGACGAGTCCTACGTTATCACTAACAGGTTTCCTGGCATACAGATATCTGCCTTTTCTTACTTATTTTAGAGTAATGTTAGGACATTTAACATCAGCAAGAAGAATTTGTTTTATTAGAGATTTGGAGGACACTTTCATGGTCTTGCCTTCATTACAAATCTGTTCCCACGCAGAAGCGGATTATACTATTCCCGGGACGCAATGTACAAAGCACTTTATGTTTTCTCTCAATGAGAAATTTACTGAAATATCCTGGCTGTGGTAGTTTTAATTCTCAAACTCCCTGTCCATGGCGTTTTTTTCCAACTTCCTAACAGCAACACACGCCTCCCTCCATCAGGACGGTAGGGGGCGCTGCCGCAACGAACTATTATGGCCGACAGCAAGATTTCACCAGGCCAAAAAGAAAAAAAGAAAAAAAAAACCCCACAAGGCTGGACGTACAGGACTGTCCTACGTCAACGAACATCTAAAAACTATTTTAAAGATTTTTTTTTTGCCTTCCATCATTCACTTCAGGGCGCAAACACTGGAGTTTTGTGTTCCTGTGTGGGGAGGAACTGGGGTGCGGGGGTGGGGCACAAGTATGTGCTAGAAATCGCTTATTGCAAATTTGGGGCTGACCAATTTGGGGCTGACCCCAGAAGGTCTCACCGAATCCCTAACTGCAAACGCGGGCTAAACACAAGCCGGAACATGCACTTAATAGAAGTAAGTAGCATTCTGCATTAAGAGATTTTTTTTAATATATATATTTGTCTTCAGTCTTTCTCGAGAACATCAGACTCCCAAGTTCAGAGCCAAGATGAAAGAGAACTGTGGCAAAATTTCATTAGATAATCACACAATCTCGCCTCCATAGGTAGAGAGGGTTTTTAAAATAACATTTTTATACGTAATTGAGTTAAATTTATGCACCCAATAAAACACCACCGCGAATGGTTAAAACAAAGGCATTACTCCAACACTTAGAAAATTAAATTCACCTAACCATGAAGTCTACTGTATGGTTCTTTTTGTAACCACCATAAATTGCTTTACAGCACTCTTCTTCTGGAATAAACAATCCAAGGAGAGATTTACTTTACAGGCGCGGATCTAGTTTCCAAAAGAGAGAGTGACCTGGAAGTTTACGAATCTTTCCTTTCTTTTTTTTTTCCCTTTGTTAATAACTTGTGTTTCCAGTTACCTTGAAACCTTCCTTCTCTTACATGAGCTTAGAAGGATTCACGGAAAATAAGACGCAGGTCTATAGATACACTGAGCCTTCAAGTACTCACTTCTAGAAGAAGAAACAATCCTACTTTGTGGAAATAAAGGCTATCTGGCAATACAGGGTTTTAGGACTATGTATTTCATCATATTTAATGCCACCTCAGAGTCAAACGTGGTCTTAGACATTCCGCGAAGTTGGCTGTAAATGCGTCCACTTACGGCGTTGTGCGAGGCCCAATTCAATGCAAACGGCTACAGATAAGAAAGAGTTCTAGGGGTCTTTAATCACTTCTTTCTTGTGTCCTTGATGGAAAAAACAGAGACGTCTTTGTGCTAGAAAGAAGGACCGGTTGTTTCCAGATTCAACAGGTCATTTTTATAAGAACTTCCCAGAGGATACAACATAAATGTCAGAAACACAAGGGGATTTTTTAAGTGGCTGATGATTGTCAATGATATATATTCTGTATTAAGGGGACGTTGTTTGTTTTTCTTTCTGACAAATGGAAAGTTACTGCTTAAAAGCGTCTAATGTTTGAACTTGACTTTAAGACCGAATGTTTTCTCATGAGTGGGGTTACTGTAAATTCGGCTCCCGAAATCAATCTGAGGGTATGCATGACCCCTCAAGTAAATAAACTTGTCCGATCATGTTCATTTGTGTTTTGGAGATGAATTATTTACTTAGCAGACTTTTGAAATATATCTGAATTGGGTTATAACTTGCAGTGTTGTTCCTATTAAAATAACGAAAAGGATGCATACTTAATGAACTAGGTTACACTTTAAAAAATGAAAATTCTGGCCACATGATTTCTTGTTGTTCTCAAAGGAAAGAGAAGAGGCCAATATTTTATGGCAAACAAAATCCAGGTGACCCTTGGATTTACTGGACTTTGGCCGTTTCCACTATTGGAGGTAGTCTAAATTTGGGAAGACTGGCAAATTTCAGATTAAGATCTGAATCAGACTTGTTTCCTAAACTTTACTGGGGGGGGGTCACAATGTAACCAATGTCCCTATTTACCCCCTTTCATCTTTAAAAAAAAATGGCCACCTCATTTGTAAAAAGAAGTGCTTGAAGATCTGTAGAAAAGTTTCAATCAGGTCCAAGACTCGGCACTTTTCCCTTTAAATAGGGAAAACACTTTCCAAAATTCATTCCTCACACCAAACAGAAGTTATTATCCAGGAAGCCCTTCCTTAAAAGCTGCTGGCACTTGGCCGGACGTAGTATTTCCCAACTACCTAAACTCTGGTTCTCGACACTTTTACTCAAAGCCTCCAGATTACTTACCACCCAGGACAATGATCTGGCAAAGGGTCAAGGGCAATGATTATCTGATGGCAGAGACCAAGCGTGAGCGACAGGGGACTGCTCAGCGGATAAAAAAGAAATAAAATCAGGCTTTTTTGGGAAAGGCATGGACTAGGCTACACGCCTAATAACCGATGAACAGGTTTCTAACTTAAGAAGTACCTTCCCCCACTCCCCCCACCTTTAGCCAACAACAGGGATACTTTCGCAGAGCCGGAGAAAAAGCGGAGATTGGCTGTTGGAGGGAAAGGAAATCCCAAGGACTAAATTAAAAGTCATTAAGGCCAAAAGGTCCCTCCCACCGCCCCCCTCAACACCTACGTCCCTGCAAGCAGAAGGCACGGTGGGGAACCAGACCCCTCGACTCAAGTACAACTACTGTTGACTCTCTGCCTTCTGCAGAAAATGGGGAGGGAGGTGCGGGGGGGGTCCCCCCACCCCGCCCACCCGAAGCGCCGGCTGCCTCGGGGCCGCGCGCCGCGCCAGCTCACCGGTACCAGGCGAGGCCCTTGTCGTAGCTGCGGTCGAAGAAGTGGGGCTCGGCGCCCACGGCGCGCACGTCGGGGTGCACGCGCAGGAACTCCAGCAGCGCCCGCGTGCCGCCCTTCTTCACCCCGATGATGATGGCCTGCGGCAGCTGCTTGCTGCCCTCGTGCAGCAGCAGGGCCAGGGTCCCCGGCGGGGCCTCGGGCGCGCTGCTCCCGGCCCCGGAGCCGCCGGGACCCCCGGCCAGGCCCGGGGGCTCCTCTTCCCAGGCCGCCTCCTGGCCGTCGTCGCGTGGCGCGGGCGGCCGGCGCCTCCGCCGCTGCTGTCGCTGCAGGAGCCGTTTCCTCTGCGCCGCCGCGGGCCACACCGCCAGCTCCCGCGGGCCTCCCGCCAGGGCGCCGCGCCCCGGGGCCCCCGCCTCCTCGCCGCCGCCCGACGGCCCCACCACGGGGCCCGCCAGGGTCTGGCAGCGCTCGGCCAGGCAGTAGAAGACGTAAAGGGACGTGAGCAGGGAGCAGAGCATCAGCAAGAACTTCCGGAAGATGCTCCGGGACAGCGGCTCGGCCGAGGTGGGGGGGGCGCCGGCCGGGCCCGGAGGGGCCATCCTAGCCGGAGGCGACGTCGGGCGGCGCGCGGGCCATGCTAGGCCGGGACTCCGCCGGGGGCGCCCGCACCGCCCGCGCGCCCCTGCGGCCGTGCGCGCTGCCCCGGCGGGGACGGAGCCCCGGGCGCCCCGCGCGCGATCCCGGCGTCCGGTCGAGGGGGCGGGAGGGGGACGTGGTGCCGTGCTTAAGAAACCATCGTCTCAGACTCGCCCGAGTCCGGAGCTTTGGGGACGCGCTCTGCGCTCCGCTTGCCCAAAAGTCGCCGGAACGGGGAGTCCTGGCGGCGGCGAAGGCGTGCGTCTCAGCCCCGGCCCCGAGCGGCCTCTCGGCGCGGATCCCTGCTCAGCGATCGTGCGTCCCTCGCTCGGTCTCGGGAAAGAGACTCGAGGCCCCGGGGCCGCGGAGCTCCTTGCGCTGCAGACAGCGGCGCGCGACGGTGCTTTCCTTCGTGCCCGTGGCCGCCGGGGCGCGGCGTCAGCGCCCCGCTGCGAGGCCCCGCCGCGTCCCTCTGCCCTGGCGGGAGCCAGAAGCCCGCGCCGAGTCGTGCGCCCCTCTCCGTGCGCTCCCGGCTGCTCCAAACTGCTCTCGGTCCCCACCTGGGAGCGGCGTGCCGGAGCCGGGCCGCGCGGGACCTGTCAGCGGCCGCGGCCACTGCGCTCGCAGACGCTCCCCCGCCGCCTCCGGGCAGTCGCCGCCGCCGCACGTGGGGCGCGGAGGGCAGCAAACTTGGCAGTGACGTCAGCGGCCCGGGCCGCGCCAGCCGCCGGACGGACGCAGCCGGGCGGACCGGGTGGGATGGAGGAAAGGTGGCGCGGACCCCGCAGCGTCGGCCCAATGACATCGGAGAGGGCGGGGGCGACCGGGGCGACGCCCCTTCCCCACTCCGCCCTCCCCGCCTCCCCGCACCGCTGCAGCCTCGCCCCCTTTCCGGCGAGCGAGGGGGGGGCTCTGGGAGAGTCTGACTGACAGCTAGGACCGGCCGGATCCCCGGCGGCCTGACTTCCACCCGGCGAGCTACCTCTCAGACTCCGCTCAGCCCATCGCACCCCCGACCTCCTCGCTCCGGCCTAGGTCCCTACGCCCTTCCCCCCCCCGCCCCGCCCCCTTCGACCTCCCCGGCCCCTTGGAAGTTTGTGGGCTTCAGTTGCGCGCAGCGCGCGGCACGCCACGCCCCCGTTGTCTCGGGCGATCCGAATTCCTCCCAGCAGCTCCGACCTGCACCCGCTCCAGTGTCCGCTGCGGGCCGAGAGCGAGCCCTTTTCTCCCGTCGGCAGTGTTCCGTCTTTGCTTTTGATTGTTTTGTCTTGTATTCCTGTAGGATGATCGAGACTTCCCCGGACCTAGAAAGGAGCCACCTCTTAGGAAGTGAGCCAATAAACGAATCAAGGAGGGTTTTTTTCTGGGGGGGGGGGGTGGGGGGGGGAATCAGCTCCGATTCCAAATCCATATGTCCAGCTTTTGATGCAGGAAACGTTTTTATGTTGTTTGTACTACTGTGTGTGTTTGCGCGCGCGCGCGTGCGCGCGCGGCCGGGTAAAGGGGTTAAATTGCGTTCCATAAACAGCGGTTTCCTCTTTCTCTTGCCCCCCCTGACCCTATATCCTCTTCACGCGCCCCTCTGAGACTAGATCAGGAAGGGGTACAAATCACCTTGCTGTGTAAATGGAGGGAGGTGGCCCGTGGAACGTGCATGAGGTGGTGGTTTTTGTTTTTGTTTTTTTAATTCCATTCCGATTTGTTGCGGATTTCTTAGCTTCCTGGTCTCGGCTGGACGCCCGGCAGAGTGGGAGGCAGCCTGGCGGCTCGGCCCCAGCCCGTGTGAGTTACCGAGGCAGCTCTCTGGGCCCCTGGGTGCTAACCCGGCCGCGTAGCAGCCACAGCGTCCCGAGCCTTCCAGGGAATTCTGCGGCCCATTGCTGGGACTTTCCACCCTTCCTCTGCCTGCCTTCCTGCGCCGCGTGCTCTATTTGACCCCCAAGGTGGAAGTCGGCGAAGACCTCCAGAACCTTCTAGTGATTCTGACTCTTCTGGGTGGAGCTGGGGTATCTGTGGCTGGCTAGACAGGGTTTCATGTTTACCAAGTACCAATCCCAACCTGTTCCACGAACGAGCCAAGAGCTTATTAGCTTCTGATGCCTTAAAGCAATGAACTTTTACAAGGATGAACGCCAAGGTCCGATGTCTCTTTGTGTCCTAAAATTGGATATCGACATACCACTTCGGTTTTAATGCTGTCCTGAGCTTTACTATATTTTGAACTTTTTCTCTAGATATTTCAGTCTGATTTGCAGGGGGGAAAAAAAAAGGCAAAATTAAAGACCATTTTAAAGTTAGTCTGAAAGCATATACAGTCTCGCAAATCCTGACAGATAATACTTGGTTAGCTCCTTGGGAAAATGATGGTCTCCAAATTCCCTTCTGGCTCCAACAGGAAACAATATCGTGTGTTTCTCCTTTCACATTTCAAACATAGGTATTTTCTTTAGGCTGCTATTAAAGACCTGCCCTACGTAGGAGACACAGTTTCGGGATCAGCTCTGTACTTAGAAATCTAAGTTCCAGGGCGCCCAGGTGCCTCAGTGGGTTAACCGTCTGACTCATGGTTTCAGTACAGGTCCTGAGCTCACAGTTTGTATGTTCGAGTCCCATAGGGCTCAGGGCAAACAGCACAGAGCCTGATTGGGATTCTCTGTCTCCCTCTCTCTGCCCTTCTCTCACTCGTGCACACTCTCTCGCTCTCTCTCTCAAAGAAAAAACATTCAAAATAATAAATTATGAGCCACAAATACAAGTCTTAAAGGTAATTTTAAAATTTCTAATAGCCATCATACAAAGGTAAAAAAACAGGTGAAATCAGTCTTAGTAATATCTCTGATATATCTAAATGTGTGATTTTCACATGTAGTCAATATAACACTGATTGAGGTTATTTATATGCATTCCCTAGGTATCAAGGCTTCAGAATCCTGTGTATATCTTACATTCCCAGCGTCTCTTTATAGAACTAGCCACATTTAAGATGCTCAATATCCACAGGTGGGTAGTGGCTGCTGTGCTGGGTAGCAACAATAGAGATGTTATTTTTGGGGAGAGGGGTGTATCTTTCAGAGTGTAAACAGGAAACAGCACATTCAAATTAGTATAACTCCTGGAGGCTTTAATTACAAAAGATGTGTTTACAAAGGAGTGGGTAAGGCAAAGGCCAAAATATGGGGATGTTGCGACCCTTAAGTATAAAGGACTGAGGGGAAAGAAGAGATCATCAAAACCCAGAATGGGGGGTGCCTGGGTGGCTCAGTTGGTTAAGCGTCTGACTCAGTTTCAGCTCAAGTCATGATCTCAAGGTTCCTGAGATCCAGCGCCCATCAGGCTCTGCACTGAGGACGGAGTCTGCTTAAGATTCTATCATTCTCTCTCTCTCTCCCCCCTCCCCGCCCTGCCCCTCCTCCACGCATGCTCTCTTGCTCTCTCTCGCTTTCTCTTCTAAATAGACATTAAAGAAAAAGCCTAGAAGGAAAAAGTCCTTGGAGGAAGCTCTTCGCAGAGGAAAGGAAGCAAGCTTTATTTCTGAGACCCAGATCCATAAGGCAATGACTATCTCAGGGAAACAGTCGGGAAAAGAAAGATCTTTGACCAAACAGCAGGGGTACGTATGTGGCATTACGTCTCATCAGGAAAAAACATGGAGAAGACTGATTAAAGTTTCTGGTTAACATTTGTGAGAGTCCCACTCCACAAGTCTAGGAAATGCTTTTTCTTTGATCCACTCAGATGCATTTGTTAGAACGGAAAATAATTCTGGCTAATCATTAGCAGGGGGCGTGGGGGGGTACTCTGAAAGAGAAAAAAATGGCCATGGAAACAAACACAATGAATTTAGTTGCAATTTCTTATTTGCCTCTTTCTCCTATCCTTCCTCGGCAGAGTGTATAGCCACTCCTTGAAAGAGGTCACCTTCTGATAGGAAAATCATTTGCTGCCACAGAAGCTGGGCTTGTACTGGGAGGGCGGTGTGTGTGTGTGCGTGTGTGTGTGTGCATGTGTGTGCGTGTGTGTGTGTGTGTGTGTGTGAAATAGACGGGATTCATGTTTGGGGACTTCCAGCTTCCTTCCTTTTCTCTGTGGGCACTCACCCCTGCTCCAGCTTCCTTGCCTGGCATCTTATCTCAGACCTGTCCCAGCCCTGGATCTCAAAAACCCATTTGCTCTGCTCTACAGGGGATTTACCTACCTTCTCTCACGTGACACCTCTGCGCAGAAGATTTACATTTTAAGGTGAGGATTCTTTTTTAAAATGACTTTCTCCTGCCTGCCCCAGGAGCAATCATTGAAGCTGTTTAAAAAATGCATACACAGGGGCTCCTGGTGGCTTAGTCCCTTGAGCGTCTGATTCTTTGATTTTGGCCCCGGGCATGACCTCACCGTTTATGAGTTTGAGACCCGCAGGGGGCTCTGCACTAAGAATACTGAGCCTGCTTGAGATTCTCTCTCTCTGCCCCTTCCCTGCTTCTGCTCCCTCCTTGTCTGTCTCTCTCAAAATAAATAAAAAGAAACTTTAAAAATGCAATACACAATAAAGTATAAAGAATGAATCATATCATACCCAAAATTTCTAAATTTTTTGGCCCAGAAATGACCATGATTAATATACTGGCTAGTTATTTATGTATAATATACATTATTTATATATATTTCTATGTTATGTTATATAAATAAGTTCTCTACAGAGATAAATACATATAGAGAGAGTATGTAGATATATATATGAGATAGATAGAAAAATAAATAGATGAGATAGGGGCGCCTGGGTGGCTCAGTCGATTAAGCGTCTGACTTCGGCTCAGGTCATGATCTCACGGTTCATGGGATCGAGCCCCGCATTGGGCTCTGTGCTGACAGATCAGAGCCTGGAGCCTGTTTCAGATTCTATGTCTCCCTCTCTCTCTGACCCTCCCCTGCTCACGATGTCTCTCTCTCTCTCAAAAATAAACAAAACATT